CTCCCAACAACCAGGCTTGGGGCTTTTCCTCAGGCAGCTGGTGAGCAAGATTGTGTCACAGGTATTCCTGGGCCTCCAGCAGGGGGTGGCACAGCTGCTCCTAGAGGTTCTCCCTGGTAAGATTGCATAGTCCTAACCCTCAGTACTTGTGAATGTGGCCTTATTTGGCAATATGATCAGAATTGGGTCCAGGAACCCCTCATGAATACCAAAGTCACTGGGCTTAAGCCCCTTACTTAAAATGGGGTAATATTTGCAAGTAACTTGTGCATAGCCTCACATGTATTTTAAATAATTTCTAGATTACATATGCTACCCAATATGATGTAATTGCTATGTAAATAGTTGTTACACTGTATTACTTAGGGAATGATAAGAAAAAAGTCTGCACATGTCCAATATAAATGCAATATTTTTGATCAGCAGTTGGTGGAATCTGCAGATGTAGATCTCATGGGTACAGAGGGTGACTACAGGGTCTTTGGAGATATAGTGAAGTTGAGGTGGGGTCACAAGAGCGGACCTTAACCCAAAAGGTAAAATTTTTATAAGGACAGAGCCAGTCACAAAGGGAGAAAGTCATATGCAGGTAAAGGTGGGGATGGGGGTGGTGCCTCTACACCCCAAGAAATGTCAGTGATGGCCAACAAACCAGCAGGAGCTGGGAGAGACGCGTGGAGCCATTTGTTCCTCACAGCTCTCAAGAGGACCTGACCTGCTGCCATACTGATTCTGGACTTCTGGCCTCCAGAACTGAGAAGAACTAGATGTTTGTTACCTGACGCTACTCAGTCTCTAGTATTTGTCATGGGAGCCTAGGAAACAAATAGTGCCTCTGCCACCATCATCCACCTCAGCGAATTTTTCCACAGGTCTGCCACTTCCTACTCTGTCTTTTTCCCAGCCTTACCCACCCATGTTTGCATTTTTTCTCTCAGTGATGGACAATAAGCCAAGGTCACCTCAAGATTGTACCTGGCTGTGGTCCAGAAGCTTCTGGGGCCTGGCCTATGACCCTAACTGGTGTACACTCCTGCTGGCCATGTCTGAACCTTATTTTATCTCTTTTGTGTCCCTAGGTTGGTGCAGGTATGGTCACCCCAGCAAGGGACCGATGTCCAAGACCACAAACTGGTGACAGTATATAGGTCCTATTTCTTCTGTCCTATAAATGTAGGATATTAGAACTATATTGCTCCAACTTCAGGCATGTTTAAATTATAGTATTATTGATTCTCTTCTTAACCACATTAAAAAATTTCCCTACATCACAAATTCATCATGATATTAATTTCTGAGAAAATAGAAAGTCTTTGATTAATGAATCAACAAAAGAATAGCTAAACCAGGTGTGGTGGCACACGCCTGTAATCTCAGCACTTGGGAGGCCAAGGCAGAAGGATTGTCACAGGTTCAAGGCCAGCCTCAACTACATAGTGAGTTCAAGGCCAGCCTGAACAGATGGTCACCCTCTCCCGGTGTCCTCCCATGGTCATTACTGATGTGGTCTCCCTGGTCTCTGTGGGATCATCTCTCCTCCTCTTACGAGAGCACCCACCAGAAGAAAACGTTCAAATGGGGAAATGTTCAAATGGGAACAAGGAACGGGGAGCAGGACAGGAAGGAAGGGACAAGAAAATAAAAGAATAGAAGGAAAAAATGGAAACAAAGCTTTTGTAAATAAGGAGGGAAAAAGGGTTGCAAGGAGGGGAGGGGAATAGGAAAAAAAGAAGAAGCAAGATATATCATGTACAGATACAAATTCCCTATAATAAATGTTATCATTATGTGAACCTAAAATGTACCAATAAAAAATGCAACCCCCCCCCACAAAAAACAAGAACACTCATCGGAATGTCACCCTAATGACATCATTTAACTTAGACATGTTTTAAATGGCCCTGTCTTCCAACAGTCACATTCTGGCTTGCTAGGGGTTAGAGCTTCAACATATGGGGCTTTGGGTGGGACATGACTCAGCCCACAACTGTTTCAACAGTGGAACTGGGGAATTCCAGATTTCCCAAGCCTCTTCCTCTCCCGAGAGTCAGGATGGCAGCGAGTGTGGGGAGCTGAGTGTGAGCACAGTGGTCTGAGGCGGCCCACACCAGGGCCCCCAAGAGCTGGCATGAACGCAGGCTGTGCTTCCCATAGCCCACCTGGGGAAGAGGACAGACAGCACCAGGAATTCCCTCGCCATGGGCCTGGTGTTAGGGAAACCACATGGATTTCCCTTGGATCGTTTTACCAGATTTTGATGTGGGGAATCTTTCGATTCATAGATTCTGACCAGCTTTCCAAAGTGATTCCAGTTAAAAGTAGACTCTAGAAGTCCTTTTACTACAGTTTCACTCATTAGCTTCAGGAAGAAGTAATATAGGGAAGTGAGTGCTGAGTTACAGATGAGGGCCCAAGTTGCTTGGAAGTTGGGTTTCTCCTTGGTAGTTGGGTGAGCCTCGTCTACAAAATGAAGGTGGCCCAGCTTCTGGGAAATATTTTGTTGTTCTTTTTTGGTATCAGAGATTAAACCTAGGGCCACTGTGCTGAGCTACATCTCCAGCCCTTTTGTAAAATTTTGAGACAGGGTCTTCTAGGTCACTAAATTGCCCAGGCTGAGCTTGAACTTGTACTCTTTCTGCCTCTGCCTCCCAGAGTGCTGGGATTACGGGCATGTGCCACCAGGCCTGGCTTTGTGAAAGCTGTTTATGGGCTATGAGCAGAACGTATTGGGCTGGGGTGTGGCTCGGTGGTAAAGTGCTGGCTCAGCATGTGCAAGGCCCTGGGTTCTATCCCCAGGACTGCAAAAATGAAACCAAACCAAACAAAACAGCATTATTAGAGTTAAAAATAAAAATAAAACAAGAAAAAAATAGGCTTCAAATCTGAATCACTGATATCTCTGAAGGAAATAGAGTCAATACAGATTGAAATAGGAAAAATGTGACTTGTAACTTGGCTGGGAATTTCAAATCCATTTACATTCTCTCTGGGCATGAATGACTTGATTGAAAGACAGACTTCAGATGTAGATTTGTGCACACCCCGACAGGAGCTCTGTCCAGGATGCTAATGAATGGTGCTGCCTGTGATGTTTCCTTGCTGCAGGCATCACTCTGGGATCGCTGGCATCGAAAGTCAGCTTGGCTGTATCCTGGGGCAACCTGGGCCTAGAGAGGTAGTTGGAAGAATCTCCCAGCTGGCTGATTACCTTGGGCAGACTAGACCTGGAGTTTGAGCTCATGGGGAAATAGCATGGATGAATGGAAAAAAGAAGCCAGAGTTGTATTGACCACTGAACTGGGTCAGGAGAACGTGGTCTTAGCAAGGCCGAGGGGGTTGTGTTTCTGGAGTGGCACCAGCTTTGTGGCTGGTAAGATTTTAATGAGATTTAAAGGTTCTTGTTTGAGCCTAGAGATCTTAGATTTGTACCAATCAATGAACTGAATCCAAATGTGGAAAGTATCGGGGGACCTTTGGGACTGGCCCCTAAGAGGAGACAAGGCCTGGCAGTTGTGTCTCAGAATCCTTTGCATATGTATGCTAACGAGAGCTCAGCAGGGCCCAGGCTGTTTGGGAAGAAAGTACAGCAGATAATGGCTTTGAACTCAGCACGTGTGAGTCAGCTCCTCTCTGCCAAGCGGGCACCGTGACACCCTGGTGGCTGTGATGGTAGTGGGAAGGTCCCTAAGGGCCAGCTGGTCTACTGAACAAGTTGGCTGGATGGCACCAGAAAGCATTTTTCCTCCCCTCCATGAGCCCCATTTGAATCTGCTTAATGGGAGCATTGGTTTGCAGGGCTGTCATAACAAGTGCCATGAACCAGGGGCCTTAAAGCAACTGCAATGTGTTCTCTGAGTCCCAGAGGCCAGAAGTTGGAAATCAAGGGCTTAGCAGGCTATAGTCCCTCTGAAGGCCCCCAGAGGCCCTGTTCCATCTTCTGGTTGTTGCCAGAGATCCTTTGCCTTTCTTGGCTTGTGGCTGTGTCACTCCAGCCTCAGCCTCCTTCCTCACATGGCCTGTCTTCCCATGTCTCTGCCTTTATGTTGTCATCTCTTTGTGTGTGTGTCCGAAGTTTCTTCCTCTTTTTATTTTCTTCAGTGGTATTTGGGATTGATCTCAGGACCTTTGCACTGAGCTACACCCCCAGCCCTTTTCTTTTCTGTTTTTTTTTTGGAGGGGGGGTACTGGGGATCAAACTCAGGACCTTGTGCTTTCGAGGCAGGTGGCGGAACCACTGAGCTAAATCCCTGGCCCCCCAGCCCTTTTCTTATGTTTTTACCTTGAGACAAAATAACAATAGGTTGCTTGATTTCCCAGGCTGGTTTTGAACTTGCAGTCCACCTGCCTTAGCCTGAGTGCTGAGATTACAGGCCATGTCTTGTTCCTTCTTTTCATATGGACACCATATGTGTTAGTCAGCTTTCCATTACTATAGCAAAATAACTGGGCTAGTTATCTTATGATGAAAGAGGTTTATTTTAGCTCACAGTTTTGGAGCTTCCAGTCCATGATTGAGTGGCCTATGAGATGACTTGGAGCCTTTGGGAAGGCTCCATGGAGGACCTGGAGAGTGAAATGACCTTGAGGTTCAATGGGCTTAGAGTAGAGGGAGGAGGCTGTGACATTCAGGGGAAGCCTGGGTGGAGAAGGAGTGACAGGGAGATGATGTTGTGCAGAGCCCTAAACTGTGGATTATATCCTTCAAGGAAATGGGACCTGGAAGGATAGCAGGGATGTGGTGAAAGCAGGGATTTGAGAAGGGGCCACCTTGCTTCCTTTCATCACCCACCAAGCCTCCGTGACCAACAGTCATCCCTTCCCCTTGATGGATTGTCTCTTTAGGCTGCTGCTTTCTTCCGTTCCTTTCTCCGGATCTGTGGAGTGAGGCTTTCTGGTGACTTAGCTCAAATTCTCTAGAAAGGGAGCCTGAAATGGGAATTCTTGAGCAATATGTAAGGCAGGAAATTTATAAATACTGGACACTCACTTCCTCTAGGTCTGGAGGCTGAGAAGTTCAAGATCAATGTGCTGCAGAGTCCGGTGAGGCAGCTCTTGGCTTGAAAGATGGCACCTTGCTGGCACCTCCTCCAGAGGGAACGAATGCTACATCTTCACATGGCGGAAGGGTGAGGGAAAGAACTCCTGTCTTTTATAAGGGTGTCTCATTCCATCCATGAGGGCTTTGCCTGAATTACCTCTTGTATTTGTTCATTCATTACTGTAACAAAATATCTGAAGCAGGCTAACTTTATAAAGAAGAGGTTCATTTTGGCTCATGGTTTTGTCCAAGGTCAAGGACCCACATCTATGATGGCCTTCTTGCTGGAGGAGTTCCAAGATGGTGCAGTGTGTCACATCGTGAGAGATAGGGAGCACTCTTCTGGTCTCTCTGTCCTTAAAAAGTCACTGCCCTGATGACCTCATTTAATCCTAATGACCTCCCAAGGGTCCTGCCTCTAAGCACCACAGTCAGGTTAAGTTTCCACCCTCTTGTTCATGTGAATAAATTTAAACGTTGAAATCCTGGGGGACAAGCTCAAAGTGTATCCAAACCACAGCGCCTCCTAGGGGCCACATTTCTTAAAATGCTGCACTGGGGATTAACTTTCTACATGAATTTTGCCAGGGACAAAAATATTCATGCTGTAACAATGTTATATTCTTTTGTGTTTATAAAAACTAATTGTAAGTAACCGTTGCCTTGTTTTGGTACTGAGGATTGAACCCTGGCCTCATACATGCTAGGGAAAGGTTGTACATCCTCAATCCTTTTTTACAACTTCATTTTGAGAGAGACTCTTGGTAAGTTGCCCAGACAGGCTTTGCACTTGTGGTTTTCCTGCCTCAGCCTCGTGAGTGGCTGAGAGGACAGGAGCAAGCCACCATGCCTGCCTTCATTTGCATTTTAGGTTGCCATTTTTTAAGGCCTTTCCACATACCTTTTTCTTGACCTTGTTGATAATCTAATCAAGTAAGTTTTTCCATATTTTCATTTAGAGTTGATAAATGTGAGCACCAGATAAACATGATGCCTGGGCTTATTATTGAAGAACGGTAAGCATATAAGATTTTATAAACTTTATGAAGGTATAATTTCATGTGACAAATGCACCTATCTTAAAAGTGTACACATCAATGGGTTTTGACAAATATAGACCTGTGTAACCACTCCTTTCATCAACATCCCCTGTCCCAGGTAATCATCAATGCTTTCTATCACTATATATTAAATTTTGCGCTTTCTGGAATTTCAGTGTCGCTGGAGATTTGGCTCAGTGGTGCCACTGCCTGCCTTTCAAGCACAAGGTCCGGAGTTCCATCCCCGGTACCAAAAAAAAAACACCAAAAAACCTGCTTGGACTTTCAGTGTTTTGGTTTGTTTGGCTGGTTGGGTGGGTCTTTTTGGTGGTTCTGGGGGTCAAACCCAGGGCCTTGGTATGGTAGGCAAGAGCTCCACTTCTAAGCCATAGCGCCAGCCCTAGAATTTCATGTAAATGTGATTATATTTTATACTTTAAGGAAACTTTTACTTTGCCTTGCAAATGCAGAGCTGCCCTTAAAAAAAAGGTTGAGTGCCTCCTGATCCTTGAGTTTCGGTCCATGGTTGGTAGCTTCAAATGCAGAAATGGCATAGTAGAGTGCCCTGGCAGGGGAAAGTGGCCCCATCATGGCATCTTGGAAGCAGAGAGAGAAGGAGGAGCTGGAGAGGGAGATACACCCTTCTAGGACACATCCCCAGGGCCCCGCTCTACTCAGACCCTGCCTTCTAATAGCAAGTCAGCTCTGACCTCATTAATCTGCTGATGCACTAATCTACTAATACACTAATCTACTGATGACCTCAGCACCGCCTGTCCAATCACCTTCCAAACACAAGAGGCCTTGGGGGACATCCAAAATCTAAACCACAACACGTCATCATCATGCAACCCAGATGGACTTCAACTTTCTGAAAACTCTTTTTCCACGTACATATGTAACGCTAACTAGAAGATCTGATCGTGGAAAACAAACAAGCACAACTACTTAAATTTAAAAGGAATTATTTCTCTTTTAATCTCTTATGTGTGCATAGATCCTTAGAGCATATCAACAAGGCCATGCCTGTGGAAACTCCAGAGCCAACAGGCAAATGGAATGTGACAATGGGTGTCCCGGGAATGAAATTACCATTCCAAGAGAAGGACACAGTACTGTGATTTTGGGGTTTTGGTTTTTTTTTTTTTTTGGTACCAGGGATTGAACTCGGGTCCTTGTACTTGCACAGCAGGCAGTGAAACCACTGAGCTAAATCCCCGGCAGTACTATGATTTTGGGGGGGGGGCAGCTCCCTAAGAATTGCTTACTATGGCTCTGTACAAAAGCAACTTCGGGTTTGTATGGAAAATAGAGTTGGGCTCTAGGCACAAATCCTTGGCCAACAGGATTTGCACCCAATGAGCACTGTGCAGAACACTGGAAATGTGGCTGGGGTGCAGGAGATTTGGTCACTGCAGGGCCATCCTAAATACAAAGGTACCTGCTATTCTGGCCCTACCACTAAATGCCAAACACAGTTATTGTGACAACCAAAGCAGCCTCTACATATTCTCAAATGCCGTTATGCAGAAACATTATTTTAAAAGAGTCACTGGGTTGCTGGGTGGCAGGTTTTGTCAGAGCAGCCACCACCTCTGTCTGCTGATCTCAACTTCTCCTGCTGCCTGCTGACTCCCTTACATCCATACATCCATATTCCTAGTCTCTCCCTGTCATTACTTCAAATTAAAACCAAACAAAACCAGAAATGAAGCCAACATTTCTCTTGGGTGGTGATTAGGGTGGGATCCTCAGGGGGTGGTTGGTGGAGCACACTTCTATGTGTGTCTAGGTGGGTCATGGAGGCAGGACCTTGGGGTCTGTGTCTGGTCCCTTGTCCCTGCCTGTCTGGTGTTGTTCCCCTGCTCTCCTTCCTGGATGCCATGAACTGAGCAGCTGTGCTCTACCACACCCTTTCACCATGATGTTCCTGTAGTGGAGCCAGCCAACCATGGATTGAATCCCCTGAAACCGTGAGCCACATTAAACCTGTCCTTTAAATTGTAGGGGTTAGGCATTGTGTCTCAGTGATGGAAAAGCTGACAAATGCATCTTGACTGCCTTTCTAGCTGCAAGCCCTTTCAAAGCCAACCCTTTAGAATAGCCACCTTCCCCCACATTCCCACTTTCCTAATCCACATCCACCCTTCTGCCTCCAACATACAGTCTGTCAGCAATTTATGAACAAGTTCTGTTCTTGGAGAACTGTTCGTAAGTCAGATTTGTTTGTAAGCCAGCAAAGTGAGTTTTATATGGCACACTTGTGAAAGTTTGCAACTCAAGTGTTCATAAGTCAGGGACTTACTGTATAGAAGAATGAAGAGAATTATACAACCTCTGTGACTGCAACCCAAATTTATTGAATTTGAATTTTCTGCTGTATTTGACTGACTTGTGTATTTCACCTTCCCACCTTTTCTTCTTACCTCTTCCCATTGCCAATCCCTCTGCCCCCACCCCAAATTGGTCCCACGTGCTCACTGCCCTGCCATGCTGTCTTGACATCTGGGTGGTTGTGGTGGAGCTCTGTGGATCATTTAATGAAAGCTGCCTTCACCTCCAAGTGTAAGCTGCACGCAGCAGAGTCCATCTATTCTCCCTCCATGGTGCACCTGGTTGGGTGCTCCAGAGTATTTGTTGCATGATAGAGTGTTCTATAAAGTAAATCCTGGATTCTCAGTGCTCAGAAACCAACCCAGGCCAGGCTGGGGTCTCCTTACCCCTCATGATGTTCTGGGGACACAGTGTGACAAGTGCAGTTGTGAACCCAGGTCATGGGAGACGGCAGGAGAGCTGCAGCCTGACAGCCCTGTGGGAATCCTGGCTCCCTTGCCTGCCAGCTGGGAATTTGGGGTGTGCCTCTCAATGTTCTGCGACTCCATACACTCACTTGTTAAATGTAGACCCAATCATCTGTACTTTGGAGCAGCCACTCCCATCCAGACTCCCAGTCTGACTGACTGACAACAAGCAGTACCTTAAAAGTCACTTAGCTCCTATTATTTCCCCGATATTTTTTGTCTTTCAGTCTTGATTATTTATGTAATAATATACTCCTTGGAGTAAATAAGGAAAGTACAGAGAAGTAAAAAAGAAGGGGGGAATTCACTAATAATCCCACCATTCAGAAAGACCCTATCAGTAGGCCTAAGCCAGTACTGTAATTCTGCACTGGTTTGTTTTGATTTGGTTTTTCAACCCAGGTGCAATAGAGAGAACATTCTCATTCAAAATCTATAGTCCCTAAAAGCACCTTAGACTCCAAATCTAAATTTCAGGGGCTAATCTTCTAAGAAACAGGACATCAATTATATGCATATGAATAGAATTTCAGAGGAACTCCTACCTTCATCAGTAACGAAATTGGAAGAAAGGAGCTGGAGTCAACCGTACCTGCCCTAAATTCTTGTGTTTCTGTGTTCTGCTTTTCCACCAGGCAACCCTGCGTGAAGTGGCAGTTCTGTGCCAGTCTGCAGCCCTGGATGGCTTTGCGTTGCTTAAGGATAAACAGGTTGGAGTTGCATATGGTCAACATTTTTTGTGTGAGTGTTTTGGTGGTTTTTTTTTGGTACCTGGGATCGAACTGGGGACCTTGTGCTTTCAAGGCAGGCAGCAGAACCACTGAGCTAAATCCCTGGCCCTGGTTAACATTTTTTGTTTGAGCTGGTGCAGGGAGAGGTTGTTTAGCTTCTGCAGGTCTCACATGGTGTCACGAGCAGCAAAGGAATGACTGAAGTAGTGGCAGACAGCATGGAGTCTAGATTTCTCTCTGCCTTTTTGCATTTACTATTGCTTCTTCCGAGAAAATTGTTCACCCCATTGTTCTCAGGACAAGGACACTTTAGTTTGTAGAGGTTTCAGTCCATAATCAGGTGGCTCCAAGGCAGGGATGACAAACAAGTATGGCACAGAGAAACAACACGGCACACACAAGGCAGCAGAGGTAACAAGAGAGAGAGCATTCTCGTAACCACAGCTCTCCACACTGATTCCTCACAGGAAGAGCAGACTGGGTGGAGAACTACATGCTCCCTGAGGAAGTGAGCAGAAATGGGGTTCACAGGCCAGTCTTGGGGAGAAGACATCTTAAAGCCATTACTACTCAGGAGGCTGAGGCAGGAGGATCACAAGTTTGAGGCCGGACTGCGCAACATCATGAGAACCTGTCTCAAATAAATAGATAAAAAGTATCGAGGGTGGTGTATCTTAGTGGTAGAAGCTTGCTTCACATGCAGGAGGCACTGGGTTCAATCTCTAGTACTAAAAAAATTTTAAAAAGTACTTTTGAAAAGGGGCCCTGCATTTTTGTTTTGCACCAGATGGCACAAATTTTGAATCTGATCCTGCCTTGAAGGTTGGTAGACAGAAATCACCAGAGGGAGGGACAGTGAGCTCTGCAGAAGCAGCTCTGGCCATAACCCTCCTCTGAGAGAAGTGAAGTCTGTACACAGGTGGGGGGGTGGGGCGAGGGGACAGGGGCCTGGCCAGGGAGCTCTCTCCTCTGCCTCAGAGAGCGACAGGGGACCAATATTCCTACTCTCTCTTCAGCCCAGCACAGCCACAGGTGCTAGAGGAGAACTTTAAGCTCTTTTTATTGCTTTTCTCATTAGAGAGAAAATTGAGGGGTGAAGACCTAGGATTGAAGATCACCCACATGTAGAAATAAATACTCTTTTCAGAGAAAAGGAAGTTGAGCTCCTAATGTTCTACTATGGCTTGGCCAAGGCGACAGGAGCCTGGGGTAGGCCTGGTCCTGAGGGTGAAAGGGAGGAGCCACCAGGGCTGGCAGATGACCCCAGGGTACAGATAAGGGCCCTGTCACCACAGACTGGGGATTTGCAAATTCGCCTACTTGATTAGATATGTTTGTAAAGCCCCAAGTCAATACCCAGGGTGCTTTGGAATATATGCGCAGAGCAGGAAGCCAGTTCCCCACTTCAAATTCCCTCTCCCAGCTGCAGTCTAACAAGGCTCTACTTTCAGCTCTTATATTGTAAACCTATGTCCTTTCAAAGGCTATTTAGCACTACCTTTTTTTTGCGTTGTCATGCCTTTTCTGGATGACTTCTTTGTTCACAACAGACCCTACTTCATTGTATAGAGAGCCAGAGTTCTGTCCAGCGTCCTCAAGGGCTGGAAGGCCATATGGGTGTGAGACAGCTCCATTCATACCTGAGTTACCGGCTGTTGGCTGTGAGCTCAAAGTTAATGAATCAATAATAGATTCCAAGCACACATAGAGGAAGGGGTGTACTGACGAGTTGACAAACTCAGGATTTACAAGACCTAATCCCGAATTCCCCTCCATGCAGTGGTTCAGTGTTTACTAATTCAGCCTTTGAGGTGACTTCATAGAAGGTAACCTCTGCAAACATCATGAATCAGCTGTCACCTGAGTCCCAGGAGATTTGGGAATGCATTTTAGGGTTCTTTGCCTTGTGGACATGTAGATACAATTGGCACTTTGTTGATGAGAAACAGGCTCAGGGAATAATCAGTGTCACAGATTGTTTGTGTGTCTCCTCCCCAGTTCATGTGTCGAAGCCTTGATATTTTGATTCTGTAGCTAGGGCTATGATTTTTAAATATGTCCATGGAAGTATCCACAATGCAGAGGAGATGTGTGCAGACAGAAGAGAGACATGCGAGTCCAGAGACGCAGAGGAGTAGAAATGACCACCCAAATACAAGAGTTGTTAGAAGTTTCCATTCACCTTAAACACGGTGTACACCCTTCAGGCTCCTTCATGGACTGCTGCTTTTGCTGAATCATAACAATACTGTACTCCATCACTAGGTGAATGTCTAACTCCAACAACTGGGCACTCAAATTCAATGTTACACACCAGGGAAACACAGTGTCACCCCTGAATCCCGGGGACAGCAGAGTAGAGGGCCTCAGAGGAAAGGACACTAGGGTGAATCTTAGAGCTCATTGCCACAAACCAAGGCAGGGCGGGGCTGCAGTGGGAAAACTTCACCCCCCTCCGTCTCTCCCCAGGGAAAGTCCAATTTGAACCCCTTTTTTTAACCTGTCTCTGGGTATACGGAGCTTGTGCCTCTGTCAACATTGGCCACTTGGGGGCGCCTCATGCGCGCAGGACCCGGGTTCCGGTGGGGTTTTACTTAGAGGCAGCCTTGTCTTCAGGGACTTGGGGCTGGGGTTGGTTGCCTTACACTGACCAATTAACGGACACAGAGCCACACTGCAGACATCGGATAAGTACATCCAGAGAACCACACTTTTCCACCAACGACTGTTATAACCCTTTCAAAGCTCTGGCTGGGCTGTTACATTCTTTTGTAAACACAAGCGACGCGCACACACACATGCACGCTCACACACACTCACGCTCATACACACCCTCACACTACTGGGACAACCCCTGGCCCCCATTTCTTAGACGCTGCAGCCTGGTTTATCAGTTTCTACAGCCACCTCCCTTCCCATCGGAGACAGCCTGTCCACTTGTGGCTCCCAGGGCCTCTCTGATGATGTTGCCCCTTTCTGTGGTCCCCCCACCCCAGCCTGGGTACCTGTCCGAGGCCCCATCAACGCTGCCCACCTGTGTCAGTTCCCTCTGCTTCCCACCTCAACCCCCATACCGGGGATCGAACCCAGGACTTTGTGTTTGCAAGGCAGGCACAGCACCACTGAGCTAAATCCCCGGCCCTGCTTGGTTTCTTTGGACCAATTTTCCCCCCAACTTTTCAAAGACTAGTTCTTTGATTCATCTTTCTATTTTAATAGCAAAAGCACTTTAAAGTGAATGAAATTTCTTCTGAGGCATCGTTTTGTTGAGCATTTGCATAGGTTTAGGATGAAACATCCTCCTTTTCAATATTTCCGAGAAAGGTATAACATTGATCTTTTAATCCACTGCCCCCCGCCCCCCCCCCCGCCGCCCCTGCTAATTGTAAGTAGGAACATGTCTTTTAGTTTCAAAGTTGTCAACTCTTTTTGGTCGTTTCTGTATTAATCCTTCTTGTTTGGGGTTATGTTTACAGAGTATGACTTGTAAAATCCATATCCTATATTTTAAATGTAGTAACACAGCATGGTCACAGTAAATGACCATCTCACTTTGGGCTCTCCATGAGTCTGTGTTTCCCCTCTTTTCCCTTTCATGCCTTCTTTTGGACTGATTTTTGTTTTTCCCATTTTCTCAATATTTATTTATTCGTTCTGTGCTAACTCTAGATATATTTCATTTGTATTCTTAAATTCTGTCTAAATTTAATAAATATCTTAAGTCTTCTTAATAAGCAAGGGCCTTGGAATCCCTTAGTTTGTCTACAACACATTTAACTATCATGCTCTTGTTATCTGGTTATTTATTTATTTATTTTTGGTACCAAGGATCGAACTCAGGACCTTGCGCTTGCCAAGCAGGTCAGCACCACTGAGCTACATCCCCAACCCAAAAATTGTCTTTTTAAAAAAAATACCCTTCTTGAACTATGCAGTTTTTTTCTTGGTAGCAGGAACTGAACTCAGGACCTTGCACTTGCCAGGCAGGTCAGTGCCACTGAGCTACATCCCTGGCCTTATTGTTATCTAGTCTTTTTTTTTTGGTACCGGGAATCGAACTCAAGTCCTTGTGCTTTCGAAGCAGGTGGCGAAACCACTGAGCTAAATCCCCTGCTCTCTGTTCTTTTAATATACTCTTTCTTTTATTTTCTTTTGTTTTTGTGGTGCTGGGGATCAAACCCAGGGCCCTTGCACATGCTATGAAAGTGTTCTGCCACCAAGCTCCATCCTCAGTTCCCTTTCTTTTTTTTTTGGTACTGGGGTTCAAACTTGGGACCTTGCGCTTTCGAGGCAGGCGGCGGAGCCACTGAGCTAAATCCCAGGCAGTTCCCTTTCTTTTTAACTCCTGAAATTAGACATTATTTTATTGTTTCATTGTTAATATTTAGATTTGCTGACTTTTTTTTTTACCAATTTCTTTGCTTCTGCATCTTTGGTGTTAAAGTTAATTTTTAAAGGATTTCATTGTTATAGAAAATTGTCAGAAATGTACAAATACTTTTCTTTCTTTCTTTTTTTTTTTTTTTTTTGGTTCTGAGAATTGAACTCAGGGACCTTTGCTTGCCAGGCAGACACTGTACTGCTGAGCAACATTCCCAGCCCCTAGATTTTCTTTTTCTTCAGCTGCCTTTGGGGATAAATTGACACTCGGATGCTTTATTATCTGAAATAATTTAGCGTGCATTTTCTACAAACTAGGGCATTCTCCTATGTAACCACAGTGCGACAGCAAACTCAGGAAATTAACGCTCGTACATTCCCATGCTCTAGTTCACAGGACCCTGTTCCTGCTTTGGCAGTTTTTCAGCCATGTCCTTCATAGCAATAGGATCCAATACAAGATCACAAATTTTACTTTGTTGTTATATCTCCTTCAACCTGTGACAGTTTATCTATCTTCCCTTGATTTCTCTGACCTTGATGCTTGCAGAATACAGGTAAGTTATTTTGTACAATGGGATATGTCTGATGTTTCTTTTTGATTAAATTCAGGTGATGTATTTTGGGCAA